AGAATTATTTTATATTTTTATTTTTTTCATTTTACCAAGTTCGCCTCAGTTTTATTCTGTTTTATAGTATTTTTATTTAAAATTTATTTGATTGTATGGGAAGGGGACTGTTCGAGCTTAAATCACATAGACGAACACAGTGAAAAGACGAACAGTGAAAAGACGGTTGACCTACTTACGGAGGGTGTTGCGCAACACCCTCTTATATAAGGCAGACCGTTGAGCAGCGTCTTTTTTCAGTTGGGATCTCGCCGTCGAAGAGGAAACATGCCTCCGGCAGAAGCGGATTGACATACGCCGAATTTGAGTTTCTAAGTGCCACAGCCTGAGGAAGACGAAAAATAACGTCGAAACGTCGCGATTGGCACACATTTTTTGAAATAATCTTAAAAAAGAAAAAATACAAAAAAACAGTTTTTGAAATAGCAATTTTTTATTTTTTGATTTTAGTTTTACTTTACATTTTGGTTTTTTTTGATTGCTTTTTTTCTTTGATTTGCTTGGGGACAAGCTAAGAAGAACATTTGGAATGGAGCCCCGTACGGAGGACTGGACAGCGGTCCATTACGGGAGAAGAGGTCGCTCCCGCAACCAAAAACAAGCTAGATTTGGAATTAAACCCCAAACAGAGGGATGGACAACGGTCCATTGCGGGAAAAGAGGTCGCTCCCGCAACCAAAGGTGTTGTAACCCAGAAGCTAAGGCCCACGGTAAGAACAATAAGGAGAGATCTAAGGACCGGGGCACCAGGGATGACCCTAGGGTGGAGCGTGCTTTTCCGATTCCTCCCACTAGGGGAGGACGGTATTTTTACCCCACCCCTTTTCCTAACTCGCCTGGGCCTCCTAGGGTTTATTCATCCCGTCCTCGGCCCCGTCCCAGTATCTCATACTTACCTGAAAGAACCTTTCAACAACAGAAAACAAGAAAGAAACCTAAACAAAACCAACAACAACCACAAGATTATGGATTTGGCCAAACAACACGCAAATTATACGCCTTAATCAGAACACTACATCATCTACAAAAGGCCAACACAAAACTGGATGATCCCGAGAGTCCTTTAACAATCTCAAAGATGGTGGAACATTTAGCCACAATGATAAAACCTGCATTACCTAATCCAACCACATTACAAAGGATCGTAGACAATGCCAAGAACTGGGGACAAAATACTTTGACAATCCTGGAAGACCATTACAAGACGGAACTTCAAAAACAGAGGACAATGTGGACCCAGGAATTACCCAAAAACTGGAAGGAATCATTTGAAGTGGCAACCAATTGGGCACATAAAAACTTACCTAAAATCAAGCAGAATGTGATTAATCAGGCCGAAAATACCATTATTAACTGCAAACAAACACAGGAAAACACCAAAAGACAACAACAAAAACAACAAACCAATAGGGGTAATCAACAAAACCGGCCACCATCACAATCCTCACAAACCGAAAAAGGAAACACACAACAACCAACACAATCCATGCCTACATTACAAGAGGAAATAGAAACTGTTATTCAAACTAACCTTAAACACAGGACAGAAGAAAAAAACACCAAGAGCCAGATGAAAGAACAGAGGAAGACACCAGAAACCCAAAGGCCACAACTAAGACCAAGACAAATAGAAAGTAAAACAATTGGAACCCAACCCAAAATGCCTACACTTATGCCAAGACAAATAAGAAAAATATACTCACCTCCAGAAGACAACTCACTCTCAAATTCAGAAACAGAAGGGGAATTTTTGAGAGAAAAAGGAAGGGAAGACAAAGATAAGACACAAGGAGAAAACTCATTGGAAAGGACAGGAAAACAAAACCATCCAATGGGCACAAACCCTAAATCAAAAGAATTGGAATCAAAACAAAAGATTATTCGCTTTCCAAATTCAGAGTCAGAGGAGGAAAATGATCCACTGGAGAAGACAAGAGAACAAAGGGATTCAACAAAAACAAATCAATCCTCAGAGTCTACTCCAGTATCGGATTCAGGGACTGATGAGGAAGACTCACTAAAAGAAACGGAAGATGAAGACTCACCGGAAAAAACAAAAGAACAAAGTTATCCAACAGGAACAGTGGAAGAAGACCCATTGGAAGAGTCAAGAGAAGAGAGTACATCAGAGAAGCCAAATCACATTACTCACCCACATCCGGAAAATTACCCACGACTAAATTCAGAGAGAAAGGAAGACAATTTGCTGGAAAAGAGGAAGAAATGGTATTACTCGGCAGGGACACAGACTACAACACCAACACCTAAATCAGAACTAAACAAGAATACTTACCCGAATCCAGGAAGGGATCCATCTCCAGATTTAGAGGAAAAGAAGTTAAATTCACTGGAAAAAGAAAAAGAACAAAATTATCCATCAGGGACTCGACCTAAAAGACCAAGCTTTAAACCAAAAAGGAAATCAAGGAGAGACACTCACACACTTCCAAAATACAACAAGAAAGAGACTTACCATAATATGAAGCCACAACAACATCATTCACAATTTGAGGCTCATTGGCAAGAGTTGGAAGATCAAGGATATTATGTCAATTATGACCAGAGTCAACAATATGACCATTTTGACCAGGATGGCCATTATTCGGATCGAGATTACTATTTTGATCAGTTTGATCGTTATGGCCGACGTGATCATTATGACCATGATGACCGTTATGACCACGATGACAACTATGAAGTCTCTGACCATTATGAAGAGTATGACTACAACAGACAGGAGTACTATGATGATCTTCATTATTATAAATATTAAGGAGGATGAGGACGAAGCCAATGTCACTCCTAACCTTTAAATGTAAAAATTTAACAAAACTTAATTTGAAAAAGATAAAAATCTTGAGGTCATCATTAAGAACACAGTCGTTCACATTATACCCTTCATTTTTCATTTTTTAGTTTTTATTCCCAACCCCGGCCCTAACCCTAATTTTGACCCCTGGCCCTAACCCTAACCATGTGTGTGGTTGTGTGTGTGTGTATGTTACCCCTAACCCTAACCCTTGTGTGTGTTTGTATGTTACCCCTGGCCCTAACCCTAACCATGTGTGTGTGTGTGTGTTACCCCTGACCCTAACCCTAACCCTAACCCTAACCCTTATATGTGTGTTTGTATGTTACCCCTAACCCTAACCCTCTAACCCTGACCCCTGACCCTAACCCTAACCCTAACCATAGGTGTGTGTGTGTGTGTGTTACCCCAGACCCTAACCCTAACCCTAACCCTTATAGGTGTATTTGTATGTTACCCCTGGCCCTAACCCTAACCCTAACCCTATCCCCACCCCAATTTTTGTTTTGTAATTAGCTTTATTTAGTGGTATTATTATTTTTTATTTTTTAAGAATTATTTTATATTTTTATTTTTTTTATTTTACCAAGCTCGCCTCAGTTTTATTCTATTTTATAGTATTTTTATTTAAAATTTATTTGATTGTATAGGAAGGGGACTGTTCGAGCTTAATTCACATAGACGAACACAGTGAAAAGACGAACAGTGAAAAGACGGTTGACCTACTTACGGAGGGTGTTGCGCAACACCCTCTTATATAAGGCAGACCGTTGAGCAGCGTCTTTTTTAGTTGGGATCTCGCCGTCGAAGAGGAAACATGCCTCCGGCAGAAGCGGATTGACATACGCCGAATTTGAGTTTATAAGTGCCACAGCCTGAGGAAGACGAAAAACAACGTCGAAACGTCGCGATTGGCACACATTTTTTGAAATAATCTTAAAAAAGAAAAAATACAAAAAAACAGTTTTTGAACTAGCAATTTTTTATTTTTTGATTTTAGTTTAACTTTACATTTTTGGTTTTTTTGATTGCTTTTTTTCTTTTTTTCTCTTTGATTTGCTTGGGGACAAGCTAAGAAGAACATTTGGAATGGAGCCCCGTACGGAGGACTGGACAGCGGTCCATTACGGGAGAAGAGGTCGCTCCCGCAACCAAAAACAAGCCAGATTTGGAATTAAACCCCGAACAGAGGGATGGACAACGGTCCATTGCGGGAAAAGAGGTCGCTCCCGCAACCAAAGGTGTTGTAACCCAGAAGCTAAGGCCCACGGTAAAAACAATAAGGAGAGATCAAAGGACCGGGGCACCAGGGATGACCCTAGGGTGGAGCGTGCTTTTCCGATTCCTCCCACTAGGGGAGGACGGTATTTTTACCCCACCCCTTTTCCTAACTCGCCTGGGCCTCCTAGGGTTTATTCATCCCGTCCTCGGCCCCGTCCCAGTATCTCATAGCCCCCCCGGGGTTTTTTTTTCCCCCCCCCTTTTCCTAACTCGCCTAGGCCTCCTAGGGTTTATTCATCCCGTCCTCGGCCCCGTCCCAGTATCTCATACTTACCTGAAAGAACCTTTCAACAACAGAAAACCAGAAAGAAACCTAAACAAAACCAACAACAACCACAAGATTATGGATTTGGCCAAACAACACGCAAATTATACGCCTTAATCAGAACACTACATCATCTACAAAAGGCCAACACAAAACTGGATGATCCCGAGAGTCCTTTAACAATCTCAAAGATGGTGGAACATTTAGCCACAATGATAAAACCTGCATTACCTAATCCAACCACATTACAAAGGATCGTAGACAATGCCAAGAACTGGGGACAAAATACTTTGACAATCCTGGAAGACCATTACAAGACGGAACTTCAAAAACAGAGGACAATGTGGACCCAGGAATTACCCAAAAACTGGAAGGAATCATTTGAAGTGGCAACCAATTGGGCACATAAAAACTTACCTAAAATCAAGCAGAATGTGATTAATCAGGCCGAAAATACCATTATTAACTGCAAACAAACACAGGAAAACACCAAAAGACAACAAAAAAAACAACAAACCAATAGGGGTAATCAACAAAACCGGCCACCATCACAATCCTCACAAACCGAAAAAGGAAACACACAACAACCAACACAATCCATGCCTACATTACAAGAGGAAATAGAAACTGTTATTCAAACTAACCTTAAACACAGGACAGAAGAAAAAAACACCAAGAGCCAGATGAAAGAACAGAGGAAGACACCAGAAACCCAAAGGCCACAACTAAGACCAAGACAAATAGAAAGTAAAACAATTGGAACCCAACCCAAAATGCCTACACTTATGCCAAGACAAATAAGAAAAATATACTCACCTCCAGAAGACAACTCACTCTCAAATTCAGAAACAGAAGGGGAATTTTTGAGAGAAAAAGGAAGGGAAGACAAAGATAAGACACAAGGAGAAAACTCATTGGAAAGGACAGGAAAACAAAACCATCCAATGGGCACAAACCCTAAATCAAAAGAATTGGAATCAAAACAAAAGATTATTCGCTTTCCAAATTCAGAGTCAGAGGAGGAAAATGATCCACTGGAGAAGACAAGAGAACAAAGGGATTCAACAAAAACAAATCAATCCTCAGAGTCTACTCCAGTATCGGATTCAGGGACTGATGAGGAAGACTCACTAAAAGAAACGGAAGATGAAGACTCACCGGAAAAAACAAAAGAACAAAGTTATCCAACAGGAACAGTGGAAGAAGACCCATTGGAAGAGTCAAGAGAAGAGAGTACATCAGAGAAGCCAAATCACATTACTCACCCACATCCGGAAAATTACCCACGACTAAATTCAGAGAGAAAGGAAGACAATTTGCTGGAAAAGAGGAAGAAATGGTATTACTCGGCAGGGACACAGACTACAACACCAACACCTAAATCAGAACTAAACAAGAATACTTACCCGAATCCAGGAAGGGATCCATCTCCAGATTTAGAGGAAAAGAAGTTAAATTCACTGGAAAAAGAAAAAGAACAAAATTATCCATCAGGGACTCGACCTAAAAGACCAAGCTTTAAACCAAAAAGGAAATCAAGGAGAGACACTCACACACTTCCAAAATACAACAAGAAAGAGACTTACCATAATATGAAGCCACAACAACATCATTCACAATTTGAGGCTCATTGGCAAGAGTTGGAAGATCAAGGATATTATGTCAATTATGACCAGAGTCAACAATATGACCATTTTGACCAGGATGGCCATTATTCGGATCGAGATTACTATTTTGATCAGTTTGATCGTTATGGCCGACGTGATCATTATGACCATGATGACCGTTATGACCACGATGACAACTATGAAGTCTCTGACCATTATGAAGAGTATGACTACAACAGACAGGAGTACTATGATGATCTTCATTATTATAAATATTAAGGAGGATGAGGACGAAGCCAATGTCACTCCTAACCTTTAAATGTAAAAATTTAACAAAACTTAATTTGAAAAAGATAAAAATCTTGAGGTCATCATTAAGAACACAGTCGTTCACATTATACCCTTCATTTTTCATTTTTTAGTTTTTATTCCCAACCCCGGCCCTAACCCTAATTTTGACCCCTGGCCCTAACCCTAACCATGTGTGTGGTTGTGTGTGTGTGTATGTTACCCCTAACCCTAACCCTTGTGTGTGTTTGTATGTTACCCCTGGCCCTAACCCTAACCATGTGTGTGTGTGTGTGTTACCCCTGACCCTAACCCTAACCCTAACCCTAACCCTTATATGTGTGTTTGTATGTTACCCCTAACCCTAACCCTCTAACCCTGACCCCTGACCCTAACCCTAACCCTAACCATAGGTGTGTGTGTGTGTGTGTTACCCCAGACCCTAACCCTAACCCTAACCCTTATAGGTGTATTTGTATGTTACCCCTGGCCCTAACCCTAACCCTAACCCTATCCCCACCCCAATTTTTGTTTTGTAATTAGCTTTATTTAGTGGTATTATTATTTTTTATTTTTTAAGAATTATTTTATATTTTTATTTTTTTTATTTTACCAAGCTCGCCTCAGTTTTATTCTATTTTATAGTATTTTTATTTAAAATTTATTTGATTGTATAGGAAGGGGACTGTTCGAGCTTAATTCACATAGACGAACACAGTGAAAAGACGAACAGTGAAAAGACGGTTGACCTACTTACGGAGGGTGTTGCGCAACACCCTCTTATATAAGGCAGACCGTTGAGCAGCGTCTTTTTTAGTTGGGATCTCGCCGTCGAAGAGGAAACATGCCTCCGGCAGAAGCGGATTGACATACGCCGAATTTGAGTTTATAAGTGCCACAGCCTGAGGAAGACGAAAAACAACGTCGAAACGTCGCGATTGGCACACATTTTTTGAAATAATCTTAAAAAAGAAAAAATACAAAAAAACAGTTTTTGAACTAGCAATTTTTTATTTTTTGATTTTAGTTTAACTTTACATTTTTGGTTTTTTTGATTGCTTTTTTTCTTTTTTTCTCTTTGATTTGCTTGGGGACAAGCTAAGAAGAACATTTGGAATGGAGCCCCGTACGGAGGACTGGACAGCGGTCCATTACGGGAGAAGAGGTCGCTCCCGCAACCAAAAACAAGCCAGATTTGGAATTAAACCCCGAACAGAGGGATGGACAACGGTCCATTGCGGGAAAAGAGGTCGCTCCCGCAACCAAAGGTGTTGTAACCCAGAAGCTAAGGCCCACGGTAAAAACAATAAGGAGAGATCAAAGGACCGGGGCACCAGGGATGACCCTAGGGTGGAGCGTGCTTTTCCGATTCCTCCCACTAGGGGAGGACGGTATTTTTACCCCACCCCTTTTCCTAACTCGCCTGGGCCTCCTAGGGTTTATTCATCCCGTCCTCGGCCCCGTCCCAGTATCTCATACTTACCTGAAAGAACCTTTCAACAACAGAAAACAAGAAAGAAACCTAAACAAAACCAACAACAACCACAAGATTATGGATTTGGCCAAACAACACGCAAATTATACGCCTTAATCAGAACACTACATCATCTACAAAAGGCCAACACAAAACTGGATGATCCCGAGAGTCCTTTAACAATCTCAAAGATGGTGGAACATTTAGCCACAATGATAAAACCTGCATTACCTAATCCAACCACATTACAAAGGATCGTAGACAATGCCAAGAACTGGGGACAAAATACTTTGACAATCCTGGAAGACCATTACAAGACGGAACTTCAAAAACAGAGGACAATGTGGACCCAGGAATTACCCAAAAACTGGAAGGAATCATTTGAAGTGGCAACCAATTGGGCACATAAAAACTTACCTAAAATCAAGCAGAATGTGATTAATCAGGCCGAAAATACCATTATTAACTGCAAACAAACACAGGAAAACACCAAAAGACAACAACAAAAACAACAAACCAATAGGGGTAATCAACAAAACCGGCCACCATCACAATCCTCACAAACCGAAAAAGGAAACACACAACAACCAACACAATCCATGCCTACATTACAAGAGGAAATAGAAACTGTTATTCAAACTAACCTTAAACACAGGACAGAAGAAAAAAACACCAAGAGCCAGATGAAAGAACAGAGGAAGACACCAGAAACCCAAAGGCCACAACTAAGACCAAGACAAATAGAAAGTAAAACAATTGGAACCCAACCCAAAATGCCTACACTTATGCCAAGACAAATAAGAAAAATATACTCACCTCCAGAAGACAACTCACTCTCAAATTCAGAAACAGAAGGGGAATTTTTGAGAGAAAAAGGAAGGGAAGACAAAGATAAGACACAAGGAGAAAACTCATTGGAAAGGACAGGAAAACAAAACCATCCAATGGGCACAAACCCTAAATCAAAAGAATTGGAATCAAAACAAAAGATTATTCGCTTTCCAAATTCAGAGTCAGAGGAGGAAAATGATCCACTGGAGAAGACAAGAGAACAAAGGGATTCAACAAAAACAAATCAATCCTCAGAGTCTACTCCAGTATCGGATTCAGGGACTGATGAGGAAGACTCACTAAAAGAAACGGAAGATGAAGACTCACCGGAAAAAACAAAAGAACAAAGTTATCCAACAGGAACAGTGGAAGAAGACCCATTGGAAGAGTCAAGAGAAGAGAGTACATCAGAGAAGCCAAATCACATTACTCACCCACATCCGGAAAATTACCCACGACTAAATTCAGAGAGAAAGGAAGACAATTTGCTGGAAAAGAGGAAGAAATGGTATTACTCGGCAGGGACACAGACTACAACACCAACACCTAAATCAGAACTAAACAAGAATACTTACCCGAATCCAGGAAGGGATCCATCTCCAGATTTAGAGGAAAAGAAGTTAAATTCACTGGAAAAAGAAAAAGAACAAAATTATCCATCAGGGACTCGACCTAAAAGACCAAGCTTTAAACCAAAAAGGAAATCAAGGAGAGACACTCACACACTTCCAAAATACAACAAGAAAGAGACTTACCATAATATGAAGCCACAACAACATCATTCACAATTTGAGGCTCATTGGCAAGAGTTGGAAGATCAAGGATATTATGTCAATTATGACCAGAGTCAACAATATGACCATTTTGACCAGGATGGCCATTATTCGGATCGAGATTACTATTTTGATCAGTTTGATCGTTATGGCCGACGTGATCATTATGACCATGATGACCGTTATGACCACGATGACAACTATGAAGTCTCTGACCATTATGAAGAGTATGACTACAACAGACAGGAGTACTATGATGATCTTCATTATTATAAATATTAAGGAGGATGAGGACGAAGCCAATGTCACTCCTAACCTTTAAATGTAAAAATTTAACAAAACTTAATTTGAAAAAGATAAAAATCTTGAGGTCATCATTAAGAACACAGTCGTTCACATTATACCCTTCATTTTTCATTTTTTAGTTTTTATTCCCAACCCCGGCCCTAACCCTAATTTTGACCCCTGGCCCTAACCCTAACCATGTGTGTGGTTGTGTGTGTGTGTATGTTACCCCTAACCCTAACCCTTGTGTGTGTTTGTATGTTACCCCTGGCCCTAACCCTAACCATGTGTGTGTGTGTGTGTTACCCCTGACCCTAACCCTAACCCTAACCCTAACCCTTATATGTGTGTTTGTATGTTACCCCTAACCCTAACCCTCTAACCCTGACCCCTGACCCTAACCCTAACCCTAACCATAGGTGTGTGTGTGTGTGTGTTACCCCAGACCCTAACCCTAACCCTAACCCTTATAGGTGTATTTGTATGTTACCCCTGGCCCTAACCCTAACCCTAACCCTATCCCCACCCCAATTTTTGTTTTGTAATTAGCTTTATTTAGTGGTATTATTATTTTTTATTTTTTAAGAATTATTTTATATTTTTATTTTTTTTATTTTACCAAGCTCGCCTCAGTTTTATTCTATTTTATAGTATTTTTATTTAAAATTTATTTGATTGTATAGGAAGGGGACTGTTCGAGCTTAATTCACATAGACGAACACAGTGAAAAGACGAACAGTGAAAAGACGGTTGACCTACTTACGGAGGGTGTTGCGCAACACCCTCTTATATAAGGCAGACCGTTGAGCAGCGTCTTTTTTAGTTGGGATCTCGCCGTCGAAGAGGAAACATGCCTCCGGCAGAAGCGGATTGACATACGCCGAATTTGAGTTTATAAGTGCCACAGCCTGAGGAAGACGAAAAACAACGTCGAAACGTCGCGATTGGCACACATTTTTTGAAATAATCTTAAAAAAGAAAAAATACAAAAAAACAGTTTTTGAACTAGCAATTTTTTATTTTTTGATTTTAGTTTAACTTTACATTTTTGGTTTTTTTGATTGCTTTTTTTCTTTTTTTCTCTTTGATTTGCTTGGGGACAAGCTAAGAAGAACATTTGGAATGGAGCCCCGTACGGAGGACTGGACAGCGGTCCATTACGGGAGAAGAGGTCGCTCCCGCAACCAAAAACAAGCCAGATTTGGAATTAAACCCCGAACAGAGGGATGGACAACGGTCCATTGCGGGAAAAGAGGTCGCTCCCGCAACCAAAGGTGTTGTAACCCAGAAGCTAAGGCCCACGGTAATTTGAATGCATCCACTACAGAGAAAATAATGGGCAATGCAAAGAACTGGGGTTATACAACTCTAGTTATTTTGAGGGACCACTTTGCTGAAGAACTGGAGAAGCATCGAATGACTCTTGCAAGAGATTTTCCGAGGAACTGGCGGGAGCCATTCCATATCGCAGTGAAATGGACAAGGAAAAACTTACCACGGATGAAACAGGAAATCATTGAGCGGGCTGAAACCATACTCACTGAACTCCAAGAAACACAAAGTAACACGGATACACGTCCACAAAACCAACAAATCCAAACGGAAATGGAAAACCAAATTACATTCCAACGTAAGACTGTAGCCATACAGACAGATTCTGAAGAATTGATGGAGAGGGAGAGAAAGAGGGCAGAACGGGACCGTAGCAGGTCACCAATGTCAATCCTGGATTTGTTAATACAGGAAGAAGAGGGGAACATACTATTCAGTTGAAGAAAGAGGACAGAACGGGACCGTAGCAGGTCACCAATGTCAATCCTGGGTTCGTTAATACAGGAAGAAGAGGGGAACATACTAAGCAGTTCAACAGAACTAACCCCAAGAACACAAAGGACTAGTGAGAAACAAAGAAAGAGGACAAGACCACCCTCAGAGAATGAGGAACTCCAAGTTCAACCTCAAGTCTATCCTCCAACAATACAGGAGATAAGAGAAAGTCAAAGAGAGAGGACAACATCACTCTCGGAGGATGACGAACCCCAGGTTCCACCTCAAGTCCATCCTCCAACAACAAGCGAGATAAGAGAAGGTCAAAGAGAGAGAACAACATCAATCTCAGAGGATGACGAACCCCAAATCCTGACTAAGACATGTTCTCCACCATCACAAAACAAGCACAAAACAAGGAGTCTAACATGGAAGATTTGGAAAATCTATCCTTGGGGGACACCACCACTCAGACAGAAAGACCCCAAACCTTTGAAGTTAAGATACACATTAACACGACACGTAAAAGACAAAAATGGGACTTGAATGTCCAGGAGAAATGGCTCATTGTGGGAGACTCCAATGTGGGTAAATTTCCAAATTACCCAATAAAAGGATTACAAATAGAAAGCTACCCCGAAGCAACATTCCTAAACGTGGCGGATTTGATGAAGCAAGCAAACGCTCATACCAAAGTAGAGAAGAACCTCTTAGGATTTGGAATGGCCAACAGGAAACAGAAAGGTAAAGTAACAGCAATAAAACAACTACGAGCAGCAGTTAGGAACACAAAACAAACAAACAAAAAAAATAAAAAGTCCCCGAAATGCCTTAAAATGCAAGATTAGGTCCTAAAATGTCCAGGAGAAATGGCTTATTGTGGGAGACTCCAATGTGGGAAAATTTCCAAATTACCCACTAAAAGGATTACAAATAGAAAGCTTCCCCGAAGCAACATTCCTAAATGTGGCGGATTTGGTGGAGAAAGCAAAGGCTCATACGCTCATACCAAAGTAGAGAAGATCCTCTTAGGATTTGGAATGGACAACAGGAAACAGAAAGGTAAAGAAACAGCAATAAAACAACTACAAGCAGCAGTTAGGAACACAAAACAAACATTTCCAGAGGCAACCATTCACATCCCATTAATAAATTTCTCACCAAACTTACCACAGGAAGAACAAGAGGCTCTTCAGATAATAAATGACTATGTGGAAAACAACTTACCTTTCATACCCAAATTGGATGACAATAGATTTGAGACTGAAGAGGACTACGTCCAATGGACGGAGGAAACAGTGAAATCAATACAGGAACATTGGATGATTTGTTTAAATGGAGAGACCCCTCAAACTCAGTAGAGAGGGGCCCTAAGAAGACATTGGACAAATCACCACGGAATGTAGTGGTTTTAGCTAAAAATTTCAGACCAACAACAATTCAATTACAACTGTTAGAAAAAGGACTCACATTCATACCCACACTAGACCTTCATAAAAACTCAAGTGAACAATTACAATTGGATATACAAAATTATCACAGAAAATTAAAATTAGCTGCATATTTTAAAGAAAACAAAAACAGGACAAAAGTGCCATTTATGCCAACATCACAATGGCTTCCACCGTCGGAGAAAATACCTTTACAGGTTCACAAATTAATAGAAAAGGACATTCAGGCCTTCTTTAGAAATACACAATTTAAAAAGATAAAAACAAACATGTCGAAACAGGAGATAATAGGAATGAAAGATTTAATAAGCAATAATAACATTGTTATAAAAGAAGCAGACAAAGGGAGTACAACTGTTATTTTAGATAGAGAACAATACATTAGGGAAGCCCAAAGACAATTAAACAATGAGGAATATTATAAAAAGATTGATAATCCCATTTATCCAGAAACCATTAAAAAAGTCCAACAGATTTTACAAATATTATACATTAAGAAGTACATAAACAAGGAACAAAAAGAATACTTACAGGGTGATACAAACCCAAGGGAGAGAAGATTTTACATCCTACCAAAGATTCACAAGGAACCGGAAAAATGGATCCCTCCATTTGAAGTACCGCCTGGCCGACCTATCGTATCAGACTGTAACAGTGAGACATACAGGACAGCTGAATACATAGATTACTATCTTAATCCACTATCAAACAAACATAAATCATATGTAAAAGATACTTACCATTTTATAGACTTAATAAAGCAGATAAAACTCCCTCAGACTTTCTTCTTCTTCACAATGGACATAGACAACTTATACACAAACATTGATACAACAGCAGGGTTATTAGCTATTAAAAATATATTCATTAAATACCCAGACTTAAAAAGACCAGATGAGGAATTGTTAAAACTATTGGAAATTAATTTAAAGAGAAATGATTTCATATTTGATTCAAAATACTACCTACAGATAAAAGGGACAGCAATGGGAAAGAAGTTTTCACCAGCATACGCAAATATATTCATGGCCAAGTGGGAAGAGGAGGCATTGGACAAATGCTCAAAGAAACCTTTACAATATCTTAGATATTTGGACGACATTTGGGGAATTTGGCAACACTCTAAAAAAGATTTCATAGAATTTGTGGACATTTTAAACAAACATGATGTCTCAATCAAAGTAAAACACACATTAAATGAGAACAAAATAGATTTTTTGGACATGACAATCTTCAAAGGATCAAACAATTCAAAATTGGATATCAAGGTACACTTTAAAGAAACAGACACACATGCACTATTACATAAAACAAGTTTTCACCCACAACATACTTTCAGGGGACTGCTCAAATCACAATTACTACGTTTTCACAGAATTTGCACAAGGGAACAAGATTTTTTTGAGGCAGTCAAGATTCTCTTCAAAGTGTTGAAACAAAGAGGATACTCAAGAACAATTTTGAGACAAAGCTTGAGAACTTTCACAAAACAAAAAGAAAAAGACACAAAAGAAATCGTTCCTCTTATAACAACATTTTCACCCGGGGTGTCAAAGATTCATAATGCAATCAAAAACAACTTCACAGAATTAATGGGGAACTGTTCTATTTTTCAAAATTTTAAAATAATTTCAGCATACAGAAGAAACAAAAACTTAAGAGACTTACTTGTTAGGGCGGAATTAAAACCAATACAGGGACAAAAAAAGCACAAGAAACCACAATTTTTCCACAACCTTAAATACATCCGCAATAGATTTGATGGTTCAATCATTTACATTCCTAACAAATTCACACCAGAAACAACAAATTGTATTTATTTAATTTTCTGTTCCAAATGTGGAAAACAATATATAGGACAAACTAAACATGCAATTTCCACAAAAATGGAACAACACAAAGATAACATAATTAATAAAAAGAAAGTAGACTTACTTTTAGAATTTCTATAGAATAATTTTTTCTAAAAAGAATTTTCAATTTTTTAGTTTTCAGACCAAATAAGTGAAAATAGATCATTTTCCATTGTACACTAATGTGCCGCCGCACAGTAGTTGGGAATCGTTGCCTTAAACTGTCGGATTGAGCTCGTAGGGGATGTAGCTTTATGAGAGCATCGTGAGCATGAATTCTTAAATTTGATAGAGAAAACATTTGTCATTTCTTTATTGCCTGCAAATAAGGCTTTAAATGGACCGACAGAATAAAGATGCATTTGAAAGTATGTGTAAGTGACTGACTTCTCTGGAAATTAGGTTATTTGTTGTCTTGTTTGTCTGTTTGTACAAGTGTATACATCCAGGTATGCCCATGCAGCAGAGGCAGAGACTTAAGACCTTCCTTAAACTGCTGGTGCAGCAGGTCTCCCAGCGTCAACGCTGATGTGACTCATCTTATTTTAATATGCTACTTTGATGAGCTGCTGGTGATGGGGAGGGGAAAAGGTATCTCTGGAGAAAACACTCTCAGACACACACACAAATACACACTCACACACATAGGCTGTGTATATAGAGGTACTACTTCCACCAAGGCCTTTTTAATACTGCAGTTCTGTCCATTACCACCATCATTCACTGGCTCATTTTGCTGCAGTGAGCTGTTCCTTCT